CTTCTTAAAAATGTGTTTTCTTTGTCTTTGTTTCCCTATAGCTGTTTTTATGTGGAGGGTCCCACAGTAAATTCCATTGCCTATGTGTATAACTCCATCGTGATTAGCTTTTTGTAAATGTTTTTCAAAGACTGGAAGTCAAGAATATACTATAATAATAATGATGATGATGATGGCCATTATAATAAACTTTCTACTGGAACGGCAACATTACAGTGAGTGTACGTTTTTGTAAAATATTTAGGATTAATTTGCGCTGTTGCTGCTGCATGGAAGAGAAGAGTTTGCTGTTTGGTCTAAAATCTTTGAGTCACTTGTATGAGCTGTCGAAAAATGTCAAAGTTTCCTCAAGTCAAATCTCGTTGAATTCAACAGGTCCCATTGAATGAAAGTTTCATATTTTACTCACCTTGCTGTGGAGCTGGGGGGCTTTTGGGGGTCCTTGGACACTGACGGGCTCCAGGGGCCGGGCGTCCCCTTGCGCACAGACTCCTGGGCTATTCCCGGAGAATCAGCTCGACTTTTCAAGCTGTAAACTTTATTAGGGCCGATTCTGGCTCTCTGACATTTGGGTGCTAAATGAATGGGGGGTTTTGTCTATGAATTAGATCGTAAAAATCATCCGGAGCGCGGCCAGATAGGCTCACTGGCCATAAACGGTCACGTGGTAGCCATTAAAGTAAGTTTTATGGTTTTGGGGAGTTGACAGTATATTGCACATAACATATAATCGCACTGACGGCGAGGCTTCGTCTGACTCTCTCTTTGCAGGCTGTAAGTGTTACTTGACCGGCACAGACCGTCTCTGTTGCTCAGTCTGCCTCAGTATGGACCGGACGCTCTCCAGGATGAGGACCGCGTCTCTGGGTAAGTTTCTGCACACTATCCGGTAGCCCGAGAACAGCCAGCCTGTGTTAAACAGTCTTATTATTGTATTCGCTCCCTCTATCCGTCCCTATTAGACCATTACACTAATTTGTCAGTTGTGCAGTGCTGAATACTGGTCTCGGCAGATGTTGCGCAGGGTTGGGTCCGGCTCATGGCTATTTAATTGCTTCCTTCCCCGTGTAACTTGTTTCCCTCCATCTGTGGTGTAACTCATAATCCATTTTTACATGTTGGATAATTATCTCTGTGTCCATTTCCACCCCCACAAACTTCTAGTTGTTGTCGTTTTATTACATTGGAGAATTCACAGACCGAGAGCCAGAAAGTTTCCAAGGGGTGTGTGGAGCGTCTAGATTTCCTTGATAAAGTTAAGCGCTAATGCAGGCCTACAGATTTTACAGCTAGCTGCCTTTGATTGGATTCTGTATGTGCTGATGACTTTTGGAAGTTGTAGGTTCACCCTTGAAAAAGTTGCAGTTGTTTTGGTGAGCGCTGCGCTCCACATGTTGGCACCATGCATTAGGACAGGCTGTAAACAGTGTCAAGTAAACACAACATGGGAACAAACAGCAGCAGGGAGACTTTTGAAAAGGAATTCCGTTTTGTGTCTGCCACGTCGTTTTGTGTTTGGGGTTGAAAAGTTCAAATGACCTTTCAAAAGACACTCTCGCTTTGTGGTGACATCTTGTCCGCTCAATGCGGGGCGAAACTGGCCACAAACTGACCCCTGAGTCCAAAACATGCACTGGAAATTGAAAATTAAAATGATATAGTTTTTGGACTAATTTCTCACAATATTTTTGGACACATTGGCCCTTTCTTTTTCTTTTTTTAAATCATTTTTATCATTAAGAGTGTGTGTGTCGATACGCCCGCTTCTTATTTGAAATTTCCAGACCAAATATGCACGAAAAGATCTTTAATAAAAACGGATATCACCATTAGAGTCGTATGAGTTTTGGCAGAAAAAACACCCTGCAAATAACCATTCCGTTTTTTAAAGTTTGTGCCTGCGCGGATTTTCAAAGGTTACATTGTCCGCCAGCAATCATAACTTACCAAGGTTTTATTTTCGGTGCAGAGGCCTACATCACACTGTCTAGAACCATTAAAGGTTATTTCTGAAGCTTTCTGCAAATAAATATATGTATTTATTAGCGTAGAACTTATTAAATCCATTTCCGCCACTGCTGAAATGATCACCTTTAAAAAATAGATTCTGGACAGACAAGGTGGAATTCTTCCCACTTTGATTTTATTTCTTCCCTGTTTTTAAAAACAGAAATCATAAAGTTTTGAGGTTGCACCGATTGTCGTTCTCACCAGAATAATCCAAACCGCATTGCTTACATCCTTCAGTTTATTGCTTAACAAATTCCGCTCATTGTCATGCAAAGATGTCTCCCTCTTAACAAAATACGAACTTACACTCTTTCCAGTTTGATTTTTAGAAGCACTAAGAATACAACAGGGCGCACTGAGAATGCGGCTATTTGGAAATGAAAACCTTTGCCAATATTTCAAAAGGAGAAATTTCGACAGGGCCCCATGTGCGGCTCACTGCCAGGCAGAGAGAGAGAGAGAGAGAGAGAGAGAAAGAGAGGAGCTGTAGGTTCATCTGGAGGTCAGCCACAGCACCAAGATAAATCTGCATCCTCTCAGAGCCACCAGCAGAGCTCGCTTTAGGCCAAGTTCACTGTCACCCTGCTGTATAGAGAGAGGGAAACCGCTCACACATCCACGGTACCGCGCGCATACACACACACACACAAGCCTTCACCGTTAATGACACGTTTACTTGGCGTTGCCTATAAGCATAACGCATAAATGAATTTACCGAGGGACGCAGAGCCTGTGGTAACATCCTGCACCAGAGGAAAAGACTGTGAAGAGAGAGGGGGAGTATAACTTTAAGTGTTGCCTCCAACAAAGACTTTTAGCTGCTTTGGTTGCTCTATAACGCTAATGAATGATTTGCATATTTTACGGTCCTATTAGTCTTGAGTGGGAGCCTATTGGATTTATCTTTTCATTCCCTCGTTGGAAACATCATAAAGCTACAATTGCATTTTAGGTTTTGTGCTGGCATCTTCTCTAATTATGAAATTTGGGAAAATGATCACCGTGATGGCAAGAGAGATACACATTGTTAAAATCAATTTTTTTCGTTTCAAGAGGGCCAGATATCTCACCGGGCTGGGACAGATGAGAGGGAGATAGCCGCAGAAAGAAGAGGAAAAATTGGGGTCAAAAGTTTACGCGCTGAACAAGTCTCCGTCATCTGTTCATTCGGAGCTTGATGCCAGCCTTATAATAGCGATCTTGACTCTCCGCACAAAAGACAGAATAGCTTTGAATTACATATGTGGCACGGTGCACTCCAGGTGAACCCTGAAAGCGCGGTGACCTCGCGTTTGGGACCGGGGGAGGGGACCCCCCACCCGTCCCCAGCAACAAGATTGAGTGGCTGGCGTTTTATTAGGGCGGTTGATTGGTGAATTTCCTTTGAATAAATTGCATTTGATATGTTTAGGGACGAGGGCACAATTTGCATTTTGAGGATTGATACTCTCGACCCGGTCACAGGGTAATGGGAAGGCCCACAGCCCCCAAATTGAGCCCCCGGACCCCTTAAAAAACATTTAGCCCCTCTCTTCCTGATCAGCTGAATAGAAGCCTTTTAAAAAAGCAGAAATGGGACAGATGTTTTTGTGACTTGCAGAGAGAAAGTTTATAAAACATTTATTTGTGGAAATATTTAGGCCAACATATATGAATTTTATTCTTCACTGAGCCTATTTAATCACAGCCTATTGGTTTCCCCTATTTAATCTGGAAAATGAACGCAGCTATTTCTTAAAGCGGACTCAAATATTTAACTTTTGTAAAGGCCCAATGAGAAATAAAAGAATTTAGTGAAAAATTACGTCAGATAACAAACCCAAATCGACCCAAAAAACAAAATATTTTTATTTTATTATGCTTAAAAAGCCTAAAACTGGGTAAATCTGATAACAACGTATGTGCAACCGGCAACACACACGATCACAACTACATTTTGTTGGAAAAAATAAAATTTTCAATTTAAACCACAATGAAAACACTTGATAAAAAAGGGCCAATGAAATCTGTCTATATTGACATTTTCGATTTTATCAGCTTTCTATTGTCATCTTAACACAAAATGAATAGAAAAGACATACTTCATTTTAGAAATGTTCACAATAAACAGTTTTATTTGTATGAACTGGACATATTTGTATAAACACAACACACAATGCAAGACATAATAGTTTGCTTTTTTTTTTGCACTTTTTTCTACCACAAAAGCGTTACATTTAAAAGAAGGCGAGTGACCGCATCTGTTCATTCACAACTTTGTTTATTGAATGCAAAAGCTCGTCAATGAAGGCTCAGTTCATCCAAAGTTACAGCGCGGGATCCTTATTATTTCCTATAGTTTTTTGTTTTTTTATTAATTAGACTATGATTTCCAACAGCACGAATCTGACAGCAGGTAATCTGACTGTTGGCACTTTAATTCACCTTACAGTGCACAGTACAACTTATTTCAGCTTTTGAAATCTATCTTTAACGGACTTCAGTCTGACGCTTTTTTGTTTTGGAAACATTAGTTGATTCCTTGTCTAATATATTTTGTCTCAGTACTTTCAATTACAACATCCTCTTTACTTAAAGGAAAAAGGAAGTTGTTCATGCACTTTCTAAAGGATGTAGCTGCTTTTGTCTCTTCTAACCATCGTTGAAGGCTTGAACGTCACTTTGTTAGTGGTCTAATCAAAGTTTGCAGCTGGTGATAAAAGCTGTCCATTCTCTGTTACTGTGGAGGCTCATTCTGTCGCCTATATATATCCTTGCTGTAAGGACCAAGTCGTGACTCACTGGAAGAAAAAAAATAAAAAAAAGGGGGAAAATATTTTATTATGAGTGTTTACCTATATCAAAATATTTCCATAAAGGTATGAAAGGTGTTTTCTAGCTAGAATCCTTGGCACATTTTGAATGCAGAAAGGATTTTTTATTCCGCTGTCAAGGCTCCGTATAGACAAGAGACCTTGTGAGAGCCATCTGCAATCTGTCACTATCGTCACAGCACTTCTCTGATAATCTAAATTTACAGTAAACTGTCAGCATGATGTATATTGGTTAAATAGACCTTCACTTCACAGTATATGCTCTGAAAGGGAACACCGTGATCTGGCTCTTATTTTGTCCTCAAATAAAATCTCTAGCACGAGGCTGTAAGGTTTTTTTTTTGTGCGCATTTAGAGCAAATTAGCTCTTCAAATTTTATGGAAAATTGCTTAGATAGTGAAAGCTAGTGTAACTTTGTTTTGAAATGCTCCCTTTCAGTCCAATGGTCAATTGGATGATCATTATCCTATTAGGCCTGTATGTTGGGCATGCTGCATTGTTCAAAAGAGATTGCCAGATGCTTTATTGCATTCAAACATACAGCAGCACCTTACAGGCCTGGACTAGATAACGGAAGTATTACCAGGACTGTTATCTAAAATGCCTCTTTTACTGGAATTCTTGAGCTTCCATGATAATGTGTTTTAATAAAGTTATTCACAGCTGAACATTAAACAAAAAGTAGTCCATAGCAACAAGTAGAATGACCCTGTAGCCGTTATTCATGCATGGATAATTTAAGAGTAAGTGGATAATAGCCAAGCTGATCTGGCCCATATTTATTCAGGAACTATATATAATAGAATGGCAGCGGACTGTAAATTTAGATATCATGTGAAGTCATCTTACCGCTGACATTATGTTGACACATTGCCTCTCAGGTGGTCTCTTGGCCGTACGCATACAGTGGATATATGGCGGAAAATACATCAGCTGCCATTTACAATGAGTTAGGTGCGAGAAAGCCTGTAAGATACACAAGATAGTAGCTCTGCCTTACAGCAACAGTGTGCTCACATGGGGAAAAAAAGCTTTTTTTTGAAGAACAGAAAACTGAGGCCTGCCCTCTGGTTGTTGCTGAAAAGAAGAATTCACCTGTTTTAAGTCGTCTGCATCAGTGTATCCAAAACTAGAGGTTCATTGATGGAGGTCAGCAATGTGAAAAAAAAATTCTACTATATTTGGTGTTAAAAATATTAGCCCATCTGCAGCAGATCTCTGTAGTTGTAAGATCCCCTTTTCCACAGATGCATATTCGAACTCACAGTTGGACGTGTGGTATTCTGGATAGTTGGAGGTCTTTTGCACATTTTTAAAAATCCTTTGGGGACCTTCCTGGGGCGCTGACCCGAGCTAAGTGCTCCCCCCAACTCCCCAGAGTTGAACGGACCCTGTAAAACTGAAGTCCAAGTCCGGGGTGAACCCCAGGTCACTGCGTCTAACAGATATGAAAATGTCGCCTCTTTGGAAAAAAAGGGCACGCCTTGTTGTTTAACAAAGACTGTCAATGGGCAAGATTAATCAGAAACAAAATGGAAACGGTGTCACGTTGGGGTCAGGCAGAAGTTATCTCTGTTTAGAGGAGCGAATAGAATAGAGGGGGGACCCTGGAAAAAAAAGAGAAAAAAAGGACAGAAAAGAAAGCTTTCAATATTTCCGAAGTTTGGCCTCTTGTTTCTCCATGTAGAGGCCTTGTTGACGTGGACAGTGTGGATATGCTTTGTGAAGAGCTGCTGCATCTTCCAGGGACACAGATACAGTGTGCCACCTCGGACATGGAGAGGAAACACGACCTGGACGTGATGGCTGATGGCGGGGAGTACGGTCAGAGACATTTATGTTTTCTATCATGTGAACATGCATTTAAAAAATATACATTTTTTTTTTCATTATATATAAATGTATGCGAGCCTGGAAGGATGATCCTGCATTTGTGCAGTTTATTTCTCTAAAATAATGGCATTACATTTTCTTATTATAATTACAATAGAGGTTATAATTGTTATTATTATTATGTGTTGTTGTAGTTGTACACTGGAATTTTTGCCCCTTTACACTTTTAGTACCCCTTCTCTTCAACACATATTTTCATTGTTGCAATACATGACAAGGTTTTTATCTATAGCCTTGGTTGTTGACCAAGTGTTTCTGCAGTAAAGTGTTACTCCAGAGACTCACTTAGCATATTGCAGATTTGTATTTTAATGTTGGCAAATTGTTTGTGGAAAAGATTTTAATCTTTCCAAATTCTGGAAAGTTGTATTAGCTGTGAGATTATCTCTTCTGTGCTGAGCAATTGTGACATTTACAACAAATGCTCCATCCTGGTCAAAAATCTCACGCTTTGTTTATACTATAATGCAAGATACGTGTCCTGCTTGTGTTTGGATGACTGAGGCAGTTAACACAGGATAACTGATCATACGTGATGGCCGTGTGTGATCAGTGCCAGATAACTTTCATGGGATATTATAGGACAAACAGAGACCAAAAATAGCTTGAAATGATTGCTGTGTCCTGGCAAATTGCAAAAAAAAATAATTGCAAGGTCTTATGCATGTACACGGTTTGTGCAACGTGAGAGATGAGCGTTTTCTGTTGTTTATGTGTGTGCCATAAAGCAGGTTTTACTGATGCACAAGTCATATGCTTTATATGCAGGCTTGTGTGTCCGCAGAGCAGCGGCAGAGGGCTTGTGCACTATTGCTGTTTTTTTTTTTCTCTCGATCATTTCAATCGGCTAACAGAACAATACGATTGGTATTGTTGTGTTTTTTTTGTTTCACTGCTCATCTCTTTATTTAGATTCAACACGTATTAAACTCCAAAAACAGCCATTCACGTCACTATTAGATACAGCCTTTTGTTTGTGATAACCTGCATTTTCTCAGGGCTTGGATTTCATATCCACTTTCTCTTCCAGAGGAGATGGATTTTTTTTCACATGCAGAAAAGCCTCACCCACATAAGTTTGGCCCCATGCAGTAAACAAGTTAGTTGATTGGCTTTGCTTTATATACTGTGATTTAATAAGGAAAACACCAACGTAAGCCAGTGCGAGCAGTGTTGGTGGTACCAGTGCCATGCTTTCCATTGGTTCCTGTTTACATGATGCCCACAGGACACGCGGTGATTGGTGGCGCTTCACACGTGACCAGGCAACTTTGTACATTTGACAGGGAGTAGGAGGGTTTTGTGGAGATCAGAAAAACGACAGCGCGATAAAAATTAGTATTGTTGCACTTCACAAATTAATGACCATGAGTTCCTACTTGATAAACTCCAACTATATCGAGCCTTCCTTTCCTCCATGCGACGAATATCAGCAGAGCGGATACATCCCCAACCCTGGTGACTACTACGAGCGGCCAAAAGATACGGGCTTCCCCCATCACGACGAGCCATCCTATCCGAGGTCAAACTACACAGAATCGGGCTACGATTACGGTAACGTCCCCGCCACCGGACTCGATGATTTCGGCGACGGGCACCACGCACAACCGCAACCGGTTCCACAGAGCCACGGTCCTCGCCTCACCGCGGCCCCAGATGGTGGCGCAGGGGCAAATGCCAGCAAAGACTGCAGCCTCGCCAGTGAGGTATATCCCGGCGTAGCGAAGGGCAAGGAGCCGGTGGTCTATCCTTGGATGAAAAAGGTCCACGTTAGCACCGGTGAGTTATCGTCACGGTTAAATAGCAGAACCACTGAGAAACAACCACTGGAACACACGCAAGCCTATTGAGGCAGCACTAGTAGCAGCCCTTACAACAGCAATTTACGACTATCGAGCAGCAGGGTCGGTAATTAAGGACCCTCGTAAATTTTATTGCCTGTGTTCGTCTGTCGGGGCCATGTGCCTTTGTTGCTTTTTAACCCAAACTACCTCCACCACTGGAGCCGAGCCAAACTGTAATATCCAACCCCGCTGTTTTGTTAATCATTTCTAAGCTTGATCTGTCCCTGGATGCGAGTGCTTGTACACTCGACATCTCCACATTAAGGTCATGTCCGTAAACTGAAACAAGACCGAGAGTAAAACAAACAGGGCGGCTGTGATTTCCCACCAAACCCAGAAATGTTTTATAGTTTTTCAACCTTATAATGTGTCCAGTGGAGGGACTAAATAGCTTTGGAATAAACGCTATCAGCACTGCATGTAACACCTGCTTGCTTGCCTGTGTATGGCTTTTTTTCCCCTCCAGTCAATGCCAGTTACACTGGAGGAGTGCCCAAGAGGTCCCGCACTGCCTACACCCGCCAGCAGGCTCTGGAGCTGGAGAAGGAGTTTCACTTCAACCGGTACCTGACCCGGCGCAGGCGGGTGGAGATTGCACACACCATGTGTCTGTCCGAGCGCCAGGTCAAGATCTGGTTTCAGAACCGGAGGATGAAGTGGAAGAAGGAGCACAAGCTTCCCAACACTAAGATCCGCTCCTCCAGCTCGGCCTCGTCCTCAGCCTCGGGGGCCCAGCAGCAGCAGATCAAAACAGGCCAGCAGCTCGTCCCCACGCCGTGCACCGCGGGTCTATAGTGCTTGAATGAACCCCACCCCACAAAAAACCCAATCCAGACTGAGATGGCAATTAACACAAGTGGAATTTGATGGACCGATTCTCAGTATTTTACACACATGGTGTTCTCTCTTTCCCCTTGCCTCTGCCATTGGGCCCCTGTCACGTCCTTTGTACCCTTTCCCTCTCCGCTCGCCCTCTCATATAAGCTTGAAATTCACCTTTAATTGCCACGGTGGCAACTGAAGTGTTTATATATTTGTTTATTATCATGAAAGAAGGATAACGCACATTCAATAGGACTTGGATCAAAATGTATCTTTACAGTTAAAACTGAGTGAGTTAAAAGTAAGTTTAAACTCATTTTTCTATGTTCCTTTTTTTAATTTTTATTATTGCTCATGGAAAGTTCTAATATACTTGAAAGATATTTAGCGAGACTCTAGATGCCTGTTAGACGGATGTTTTAGAGGTATGGCATCAGTCAGAGTAACAGTGTAGTTTGTGTGTTTGAGTGGGTTGGTTTACTGTTGAATGTAGTCCAGGTGACTTTCACATTTAATGTACATAGGCAAATCATAATGAAGGCACAATAAGCAAAGAATTTCGTCAAGTAGAATTATGTTCGTTGGTGTTGTAAGGTCTAGTTTTATTTGTGCTGGTCCGTCCCATGTTGTGCTGTGTTCTAAACTGTGAATATTTGTATGTGTTGTCTCAGTAATGACTGTTGTGATGTAGGCTAGTGTAGGCTCAATCTGTCCTTGTGAAATAAATATGTACTTCACTTATAAGGCTGCCTTGGCTTTGGATATTTTGTCATCGCAAATGCTGATTTGATTTGAACGCAACATGTATTGTTGAAGCCGCGCGTATTAACATGGCAAATGCATTTAGATGCCTCCCTAAAATTAAAAAAATTGGGGATTGCATTTTAAAACGCAAAACATTTTTTTTTTCATGCTGTCTGTTTTCAATTCAGTATGAATCGGTAGAACGTTTATTTAAAGCATTGGAATCAGTTATCCTGTGTTTGGAGATGCGTGCGTAAAATGCAATAGTGTGTCCGATATTGAGATAATATACTGCGCCACACTTTCACAATGCTTTATATCTCTTTTTAACTTTATCTGAATAGAATCAAAATCATTTTGCTAAATCTGATGGTATTTGCACAGGGGATTGACTTGTTTACCAGGATGCAAAGTTACGCAGCTTCTCTTAAAGTCATATTCACAGATATTGAAACAGTTCCAACATTTCCAGGTGGTTAATATGTGCAACCTATTTAGAATGAAGTATGTCTTATATCCAACACTTTGCATAAAAAGTGTCGATATGTCTGATTCCATTATGTCGTTTAATGCTCAACACACTGGAGTTCTAATCCGTAAAATGTGCATGAATGTCATGCGTATTTTCGTGGATAAAGACGAAATATGGATGGAATTCAGGAGACAAATATCAGCTGCTTTAGTGTTGCAGGCTTTGCTACTGGCACGGGAATCAAACCAAACCCGAATTGTTCAATGTATCCGGCCACACATATTGTTTTTACTTGCCATTATAAGGAGATCTCTGCCAACCTCAGTGCACCAGAGTGTGAGTGTTGGTCACTACCTGCTACATCCAAACAATAGAGAGTTCAACCAGGGGACACGGCCGGCTCTGGCCAATCACCGGCTCAGAGCACTTCTTCTGACCCCTGACCTCTCGACACACACAATGTTCAGACCATACATCAGTGCGTGAGACCTCCGCGAGCTTTTTCTTCTCATTTAAGATTTACCCAGAGACAGCGCGGAAACAAAAACGGTGTTTAGGTGTGAATCTGAGCCATGAATTTCCCCAAAATTATTCCTAGAGACAGCTCGTCTGCAATTCATCACAGAAACACTCCTGTCAGGCCGTGTAGAAGGGCCAGATATGAGCCGAAACACACTGGTATTGTGCATGTAATTTAGTATGATTTGCCATGTTTTGTCAATGATGGTTCCTGCTCAATATTTATGCCAATAATATCATAATAAATGGGTTTGCAATGCATTTAATCGTAAATTAGATAAAATGGACATTCACAAAAATTCCCACAGTAGACAGACAGAAAGAAGCTTTAAATCCATTTTGTTGGATCTTTCATATTTATTAGTTTTTTGTTTGTTTGTATAAGAAGAATAATCCTGCAGAAATGTTAAAGCCCCCTTTGCATACAGTCTTCAGCCCTCGCTGCAGACATGGAAGCTGTGCAGAAGATGGCGTTGAGGCTGATTGACACCGATTTTGCGCAGACTCCAAGAAGTCCAACTAGTTAAATTACAGATTTCAAGTCATTTGAGTCGCGAATAGAGGTCACTTCCAATGTACTGAAATTTTAATTCGCCCGTTCACGTGACTTGTTGAATAATGAATGCCCCGGGGTCAGAAATAGATCTGAAAATCTGCCTTATTTTCATTTGAAGTGATCCTCTGCAGGGTGCGAGTCAGATCTCTTGTCCCCTGACAAAACTCTGTCCGCTGAACACAGACCGTCATGACCTGTGAGTAGATTTGGTTGTTATTTCTCTTTTGTGGAGATCTTTAAAAAGTCCTATACAATATCCCGGAAGTTGAAGTTTGTTTGGTGATTTTTCTGGCGAATATTCATGGAAATTGTAATATGATCTGTTTATTTCCAGCTATACATTGTTATAGAGTTTCCGAGCTTGTTAATATCATAATTTGCTTATTGTTAAACTCAAAAATCTAATTTCTTAATTTGATTGGAAAATATTTGAAGGGACTTATATAAAATGTATTAATACATTTATTACACGATATGTGTATGTATTTTGTGCTTAATCGTTAAATATAAAAGATACTTGAACCCTCTATCATATTGGAGCTCTAAGTAAATCATACAAGACAGCAGGTCTAATTTTCCATAACTTGTTAAATCTTCAATCCAAACAAAATAGGATGATAAAATCCAACCTTCACTTTGCCAATAAATGTATGACAATAAACAGTTTTAACAAATTGGTTTAAAAATGAAGTGATACTACTCATGTGGCTGTAGAGGTGAGGATGTAGTAGGAGGTGTAGCTGAAACTTTTCCGGGTATGAAAGAATGCAAACACAACACAAAGTTTACATGAATAATAACAAAAAGAAACAACCGTCTGCATTTATGTTTGCAAGTTTTTCCTCAAGAATACTGCATGCCTTCAAAGATGGAACAAAGCTTGGTTGCTGTTTGTAGGAATTTTGACAGTTTACTATTTTTATTTCATTTAATATATTAATTCTACTGTTGAATATTGAAGTGAGAGTAAGTGTATTCAGACAACGGCAACAATACAAAAGGTTTATCTGTTGCTTGAAGGGTTTTTCAATGAGAGTGAACACAATAGTCAGTTTAGACACAAGTTAAACATTAACAAGCCCTCGGGGTGTGTGACAATCTTTAAAATAATAATAATGATAATAATAGTTTTTATTGTTGTGGTAATTATCATCATTATTGTTATTATTATTAGTAGTAGTATTAGTAGTGGTAATAGTAGAAGCCTAATAATAGTGGTATTATTGCTGTTTCGCACTTACCTCCAAAATGTAACTGACAGCTATTGCACAAAAGTATTTTATACAGTATATGATCTGAGGACATTTACAGTCGTAATAAAGAGTCACTAAGTTCAACATGAAAATTCAAATAGCTTTATTACAGCCACCTTTACGCAAACAATTACGCTGTCCCAGTCCGTCTGCATCCATGAGAGATGGCTCCAAGACAGCTTAAGCGTTGAATTTCGCATTAGCCTTGATGTTGGCTGGTGTAAACCTCGCAGAAAGAGTTATCTTCGGCTGAGTGTATCGGTAACCCAAGCCTGGCTGTTAAGAGCTCCGAGTGTCAACATTGTGGGAAGATATGGACCGCCGTCTGGCCAACATCCAGAGGTCTGCGCCTCTAACTCCTCTTCGCTGACAGTGATAAGGAGCCTTGATTTGTGTAAATAACTCTGAAACATTTGTTTTATGCTAAAACAGTTGAGATTTACAACATAATCAATCAACTACTACTTTTTGAGCAAAGGGCAAATCTGGAAAAAAAAAAAAAAAAAGTGCAACAAAACGTGAAAAAAGTAGGCTACCAGCTGAGAGGGCCTTTGGTTTTGCAAAATAACTTCCCACTCGACTCTCTATGCCTCTGCCTGGGTCAGGGAAAAGTTCAGGTGCGGTGGCGAAAGGCAATGTGGGATTAGCTTCTAGTGCACGGTCATGTCGAGCCATATAATCCTGGTGACAGCTCCACATCTGTAGAAGAAGAAAGGAGAGAGAAGAAAAAACACATTACATACACAAACAGTCCGTTTAAAAAGAGAAATTGTCTTCTTTTCATAATCATGCCTCTGAAACCTGTACGTTAAAAACTCAATCTTTAACGCTGATCATGATTATTCCTCCTCTTTTCGTCAGTTTTAGAAGTGCTGAAGGAGGAATTAATGAGAGCAGGTCTACTTCTGTTCCTGTCTTTAAAAGTTTACCGCTCAAGTTGTAGTTTGAGAAGACAAAGGCTGATGTGGGAGTGGGATGCTGTCTATGTCCGCCCCGAATGATTAATAGTTGTGGTGGGATTTGTCCACGCCCGCTGCTCGGTGTTGACGGAAAACAAGCGCCAAACGGTGCCTGGATAGGGGAAGCTCTTCCGGGCTAGGACTTTTGGCAAAGACTTGGAGTGCCTAGAAGTGAGATATCTTCCAGTGGCGCACGCATGAAACGCTCTTCAGATAGGATTTTGTTTATATCATATTGATTTTGGCAAACTACAGAAAGTTTATGACTTAGTCGGCACTTTTGCCATCTACAACTTCACCCTCCCTCCCCCACCTCTCCAAGAGCTCCAAAACTCTTCCTTTGCACAAACCTGTAATTTCACTCAGCTGGTCATAGGAAACGCGTAAGCGCTTGAAGGTCTAATGGGGGGCCATGTAGTGATCAGCGGGGTCGAGCAGCCTCTCTTTGGTTACCTCACCTCCACTTTCCGCTCACTGCTGACTGACACGCACCCCTCATGACCACCAGGACTCAAACCCTCCTTATGTAGGACAGGTAAATGTGTGACTTTTTTTTCTTTTTTCTCTCAATTTGGCCAACAGCATGCAGGCTTTTGCTGATGGAGAACCAGAGGCTGACTAAGTGGTACTACAACCAAACCGTGGGGCTGAGGACGGGGGGGCGATATTGAGTAAAGCTCTCTGTAGCCCTGGCTGTGTTGTAAAGAGAAAGGAGAAGAGGTTTGCTGGAGTGATGTGTAATCATTATGCCACCCTTAAATGGTATTTTGTAGGGGAAAGCCTTCTCCATCTCACATAGTGCGAATTATCACGCTGCAGTGCAAAACAGTCTAGTTTTAGCCTGGCTCAGAGCTGTGGCTGCACTTCAAACTCTGCATAATACAGCAGGATTAGCTCTTTCAGCCGCTAACAGGCACCAAATATATGGCACTTTAAAACTGACAGAACAGTATTTCCCTCTGAATGGGCGACACGTGGAAAAGCTGCTTCTCTGCGAGAGACTTGCTCCTCTGCCAGATACATTGCAGTGTCACATACCCCTCTTTTTTCTCCCTCCAAACTGATCCGTTTCTCCTCAGGGGCAATGACTGCCTCCATTAATGATTCACGGGCTCAAATAAAAGGGATTTAAGTTGACGTTGCGTCACGTGAGCGGGGCGCATAATACTGCGCGATGTTATGGCACGGGGAAGAAAACCGGAGCCCCGGTCTGACCATATGATGCTGATTATTTGCGGGTTACCCCCACTTTCCGTGAGGGGAGTCCGGGCTTTGTAGTTTTGTTTATCGAAGGGGAGAAAAAGAAAAGCGAGGCAGACTGAAAGAGAGAGGATTCCGGGTGTGTGGATGTATTATACTGCTGTCACGGACGGATATGTTTTTCCACGCGGACAGAGTCAGAGCGCGAGCTTTGGGAGGATGGATTTTATTTTGAGGTATTTCCGCCGATTGTTCATTACTGTCGTGAGTTATTGCTGCGCGAGGCAGAGGTCAGTAAAAAGGGGTCCAGGGTTTTTGCAGGGCGACAAAATAGACAGGTACCAAGAAGCTATCGATATTCACCTAACTGTTAATATCTCAGATTCATCAAGCGATGCATAAATAGCCCTGCAGAATTTACACACAACCTATATAGGTATCTATTTAAGGGTTTATCTGGGCCATAGGATTCAGGCATTGTTCCATTTTATGCTTCCTAGGCTAAACATTATATCAAAGCCATTACTAGTTTCAGTGTAAACTTGTAATGGAGCAGCTAATAAATATTTTTTTGTCTTTATCACATATCTTTAATAGCACGAGGAGCCATTTGGATTAATAGGCCTGTACAGCCGTTTGTAAATAAAGCGACCATTTAAATATCGGCTTCCAAGAAAAACCCAAACAGAGCGCGCGGCCGATCCAAGGTGCAACCGGTCCTATAAAACAAAACATCTCGCGTCTTAACGTTTTTTTTTTGTACGTAAATGATACATCAAGATGAGCTCCATAAAATGTAGGGGAAAGCGGCGGGGTTGTGTCGCTCCGCCAGGGAAACGAGGATATAATGGAAGACGGAGTGCCATCCAGGACCGCGCGGCCGCGCTGAGGTCACGGCGCTTCTGCTTGATTTATGGGCGCGGGGACTTGGGGAAGATGGTGCGCGAGAGCTAATGACTATTCGATCCGTTTGTGGAGAAAATGCCTACCAGCCGGCAGGGACACAACAAACAAGTTATTTGCATAGGCCCGTTTTTATGTTATTAGTGTCATTACGCTGATATGCAGCATTATTTGGTTGTAGTGTTGTTTTTGTACGAGGAGAATCTTTGGGCTTGTTTTTTTATGTTTATTTGTATTTGATAGTCTTGTGTTTACTACGGATGAATATATTTTGCTTGATATTTTGTTGCAAAATGTTTAAAGGGAATCTAGATTTAATGGT